TTTCTTTATCCATTCATATGCTGAAGGGCATGTAGGTTGGCTCCATAGCTTAGCTATCATGAGCTGAGCTGCTATGTACAATGATGTAGTTGAGTCACTGAAGTATGCTGATTTTAAGTCCTTTAGGGATATAAGGAGGAGTAGGATAACTAAGTCAATTGGTGGTTCCATTCCAACTTTTGTGAGGAATCTCCATACTGCTTTGTAAAGTGTTTTCACCAATATGCAGTCCCACCAGAAATGCATGAGTGGACCTTTTTTCTCATATCCTCGCCAACATCTGTTGTTACTTTTATTCTTGATAACTGCTATTCTGACTGGAGTGAGATGGAATCTCAGTGTAGTTTTAATTTCCTTTCCCTACTTGCTAGAGTTGTTGAACATTTTTTCATAGATTTGTTAACAGGTTGTATTTCTTCTTCTGTCATTCTTGTTAATTTTGGTAGCATTTATAAGTGAATCTCTCGAGTCCTGGACTTTTTGTTCTGTGATTTTTGATTATTGAGCAGAATCCCCCTTTTCATTATTTGTTCAAATTTTCTATTGTTCATGATTTATTCGTCATTGTTAATGTATTAATAGTCATGTATCCATTTCTTTTTGACTATTCAATTTATTAGCTCTTGTTCATAGTAGTCTCTAATGCTCCTTTGCATTTCTGTGGTATCAGTTGTAACCTATCCTCATTTATTCCGGATTTTATTTATTTTGAGTCTTCTCAGTTACTGTAAACAAAGGTTTGTCCACTTTGTGCTGATCTTTCCTATTGTTTTTGTAGTTTCTTTTTCATTTATTTCTGCTCTTATCTTCATTGTCTCTCTTCCTCTACTCACTGTGGGGGCTTCCTTTGCCTTTCTGTTACTAGTTTATTGAGGTTAAAAGGTGGTTTGATCATTTGAGATCTTTCTTTTTTCCCTTATGTAGGCATTGATCCCATCAACATCACTCTTAGAACTGGTTTTGCTGCATTCCATGTTTTGGTATGTTCCATTCCCAATTTTGTTTGCTTTCAGATACTTTCTAATTTCCCCTTTGAGTTATTTTTTACTCACTACCTATTCAGGAGGGAGTCACTTAATTTCCACTTATTTTTCTGGTCTTATATCACTGATTTTGGAAATAATACTGATATGATATAATTGTAATCTTAAATTTGTTCAGACTTGTTTTGTAGCCCACCATATCTATTCTAGAGTATGTTGTATATTCAGTTGAGAAGAATGGGTTTCTGGTGTAGGGTGGGAAGTTCTTTTAATGTATATTAAGATCATTTAGTCTGAAGTGTAGCTCCACTCCAATATTGCCTCATTTTCTGTCTGAATGATTTATCCATTGTCCAAAGTGGTACAGAAATTGCTATTAATATTGAATTGCAGCTTGTTTATCTCCTCAGATTCATTAATATTTTCTTTGTATATTTTGATGTTCTGATGTTGGATGTATATGTTTTTGTGATTGTTAACATTGTGTAAGGACCTTCCTTGTGTTGTGATACTGTTTCTGATGTAAGTAAAGCTACCTATGTTCTCTTTTGGTCAGTATCTGTGTGGAATAGCTCTTTCCATCCCTTTGCTTTCATTCCTTATGTGTTTGTGAAGCTGAAGTCTCTTGCAGACAGCATACTGTTGGGCATTTTAAAAGAATCTGCTCAGACACTCTCTATTTTTGATTGGAATATTTAGTCCATTGGCATTTATACTAATGATTGGTAGGTAGGGGCTCCATATTGCCATTGTGTTAATTTCTTTCTGATTGTTTGATAGTTGCTTCATTCCTTTCTTCCTGTATTATTATGTACTTTAGTGATTTGATGATTTTTAAGTTGTATGTTTTTATTCCTTTCTCTTGATATTTTTATACAGAAAATAAGTGTTTGCTTTGTGGTAACCATGAAGCTTACACAGAATATCTTATACTTGCAGTAGTCTGTTGTAAGGTAATAACTTGATTCAATTGTGATAAGAAGCCGTATATGTTTAATCCTCCTGTTACAGTGTATGTTTCGATATTATATTTTTCATATTGAGTATCCATAAACAAATTGGGTATCCATAAACAAATATTTGTAGCTGCCTCTTACATTTTATTGTTTGCATGGGAGTTCATAACTGTGGCTTAGCTATTTCCTAAGTTCTAGGAAAAAGTAGACTCTAAAATAATGAGGTTTTTAAAAAAGAAAGTCATCTTGCAGCTGTTTCACTTATGAATGTCTTATTATGTCAGTGACTGAGAAATTCCTTGGGAAAACTCCATTTTGAAAAGCATCTTAGGATAAGTCTGGAATCATCCATGGCTCACAACACAAAGACCAATGCGAGGTGTTTCAGAGATCAATCCTTTCTACTCAGAGAGAGAACAATCCAGGGAGTCTGGTGATTAAGACCTGCCAGTTCAGGATGACTTTTGAGCTCATTTAGAGTTGACCTCTCCTGGTACAGCAGTGGGCCCACAGAAGAGGCAGAATTTCCTTGACACTTGTGGTTGATTGTTCCTCTTTTGTGTAGATTAGTCTATTACAAGAGAACACATGTTTAGCAGTGGAAAACTGGAAAACCACACAAAGAAAAAAGGGGGGAAATCAGCCTTTAGTGTCAAAATCAAACAAAATAAATGAGTTTTATGAATTTGCTATACTTCTTTTTATATATTTTCTCTCTTAATTATTATATATCTGTTTCTCATAGCATTTTATTTTCTTTATGATAAAAACAAATATTTGGGCTTTTTATTGACATAGGCATGATAATTGTAAGCATTTATATTGTACAGTGGGATAATCATTATGCATGTTTATAATGTGTAATGATTTAAACAGGGTAATTAGCATTTTTACCATTTTAGTCAGTATTCTGTTACTATAACAAATACCCTAGATAATTAACTTTTAAAAGGGATAATTAACTTTTAAGTTCTGGTGGTTGCAGTCCATGATTAATTGGCCCATTGCTTTGGGTGTCTGGAGTGCAGGGTGTCACCACAGGATTGCTTCATAGGCCAAACCCAACCACCTTCTGTCCAGGGAGTTAAAGAGAGTGAGGAGTGGGCCAGGGTCCCAAAATGCCCTTCAAGGACCCACCCACAGTGACCTTCAAACCTTCCACTAGAGGACACCTCCAAAAGACTCCACCACCTCCCTTTGGCAGCTCCCTGGAGATCAAGTTTAATACATGGCCTGCAGGGGACATTTCACAGCCAGAATATGCCACCATCTCCTGAAACAGTGTCATGTTTTTGAGTTGGGAATCTTCAAACTCTTCTCTTCAAATTCTTTTAAAATATCTAATAAGTTGTAATGAGCCAGAGTCACCTCCTGTAAGTGCTGTAGACACTAAGACTTACTCCTCCTCTATAACTGTGTTTTCTAATGATACCAATAATGTGTATTTGTTATAGAAAAAAAATAAATGTAAATAAAATAGGAGATATATTAAACAGAGTAAGGGTTTTTCACTTTCCTCAAACAAAGTGTACTGAATGATTAGGATGCCTCATGTCTCTTCTTATCCTGGAGAAAACTCATATGTGATTGGGATCAGGGGAGGCAAGAAGGAAGGAAGGAAAGGGAAGGCCCTGGTGAGTGAGTTGCATCCAGTTATGTTGTATGCATGTATACAAATATGGCATAATGAATTCCACTATTATGTATATTATAATACACCAATAAAAAATTGTACACTAAAAAATTACCATATTTCTAAAGTTACAATGTGAAAATGGAAAAAATTTATCTTTCAAGCCACATTCTCACCCCTGTCAGCATTGTCACTGCAAGTAACTACTATTAATATTTGAGTGAATGTACCTGGTGAAAAAGATAATATTCATGTGTCAGCATATGTATTCATGTAAATTTGTGTTTGTGTGTGTCTTTCAGTTAATTTATACAACAAACAATATTACCATTTTCATTATTTTATAGATAATCTATAATCTATAATATACAATCATTATGATACTCATTATACTATATGATATGTATTACATTTTACTGATATTATATATTTCATATTATCTATTTATTTTATGTTATATATTAATGAGTGTAATATATATTTCATATATTATATTCATTTCATTAAGCATTTGTAACATAGGTTTATATCAGCTGTTTCCATTTTAATATGCAAGAATATTGCATTTCGTCTGTACTATGATATTACTTAGCCACTTTTCTCCTGATAAGTATTTGTATTTTTGATTATGATGTTGCTGCAATGGGCATTTACAGATATTATGTGTGTTATACACTCACACACATTTCTGCAGGGACAGCCATAGGTAAATTTCTAGTCATAATATTGCAAATTAAAGGGATTCCATTGCTGAAACATGTAAATTATCTTGCCAAGTTCCACCTGGCCTCCTCTGAGCTAGTTTGGGCTTTCCTACAGTACAGTAGTCTCAGGGCAGTCAGACAACTCACATGGTGGCTAACAACTTCAAGAGCAAGGATGTAAGCCAACAAAATGGAAGACATGTCACTATTTCAGACACAGTTGGTTTGAAACTTTCTCTTCCCTGCACTATTCCAAGGTCTCTCAGAACTCCCCCAGACCCTCTCACACGAACCTACCATTGCAGTAGGCAAAACCCCAAATCCAGCTGCTGTTCTATGAGTGGCTTTTCAGTTAATACCTCCTGGCTATTTGGGGCTTCTTTGTTTCCTCTCAAGTCCCTTCTTATCCTTTCCTTGAAAAATTACTGAAACTACACAATATTAGAAATTCTCACAGTTTGTATATATTTCCCCTAATGTACATTATATAGAGTAATCAGGAGTTTAAATAAATAGGGTTTTAAAAACTCTTAAGAATGCAATAAGAAGAAAGTGACATAGTAAAAACGAAAGGGAGAAGTGAAAGTGGGAAACTCCTCTGAAACAGAGAGGACCATCCCATATAAATAGCCCATCCCCATGGAGCCAGGACATTCACATTGCAGACCTTTGCAGTCTGTGCAAACTTGCATAGATTGTAGGCAGCGCTGTTCTGGTTGTCATCATGAACAACAGGTGCATCCTCCAACTGGCTCTCCTGTTGTGCTTCTCCACCACAGCTCTTTCCCTAAGTTACAACCTGCTTCGACTCCAACAGTTCAACAGCAGTGTGGAATGTCAGAAGCTCCTAGAGCAGTTGAATGAAAGGCCTGCAGACTGCCTCAGTGACAGGATGGACTTCAAGATCCCCAAGGAGATCAAACATCCACAGCAGTTCCAGAAGGCGCAGGCTGCCTTTGTCATCTATGAGATGCTCAAGGACATCTTTCATGTATTCAAAAAAGGCTACTATAATCCTGACTGGAATAACACCATTGTCACAGACCTCCTTCATGAACTCCATCAGCAGATGGTCCTCCTGAACACAACGGTGGTAGAGAAACTGGGGGAGGAAAACAAAAGACAGGCATACTCCATGATTATCCTGCGCCTGAAGAGTTACTATGTGAGGATCCGGATGTACCTGGAGGCCAAGGAGTACAACAGCTGTGCCTGGACAGTCGTCAGAGAGGAACTCTACTGGAACTTCTCCTTCATTAACAGACTTACAGACAAATTCCAAAACTGAAGATGGCCCAGTAGGCACCACATCTGGACCAGACGATGAGATCAGACATTCTTCAACCAGCAGAGGCTCATTAAGTGACTGACAGCAAATGGGGTGCCTTTGAAAAGACAATAGACGTTTTTAACTTTTTAAATTAATTTATGAATTAAGTTATTTTTAATCTTTATTTAAATATTTATGTTGGAAAATAAATTATTTAAGATGCAAAATCCGTGTGGCAGTTTCAATTTCAACTTGATTTATAAAACCCCTATGTTCACATAGTCAGAGCCCCTCTTAGATGCTCTTTGTAAAATGTGCCTGCAAAGTAGTAGAGTTTCTAGCTTATGCCAGAATTTAAAATCCTGACATTTAAATTCCCCTGAGAAATTTATATTCCAAAGAAGCACATGTAATACACAAGGTACTACATAATAAGGGGATCTGAATCTTCTAGGACAATAAATGTGCAGTTGAAGCATTTGGATTGGAGGAGAGTGGGTATGCAAATGATTTGGGAGTGTAACCTGGGGTGCCCACTGCTTCTGCTCTGTGCTCCAGGGTCTATGGTCGTGAAGTTAGAATTTAGCACTCGGGAGAACCAAAGGAATATGCTAGCTCTTGTAGTCAACCTAAGCCCTTCCTTGTCTGGGGGATGCTCTGCCCCTGTGTGCCCTCAAGATTGAGGGTGAGTTACTTCCCAGACACTTATGAAGTACCTTGATTTTGGTCCTCATACTAGTCAAAAATTATGGAATTCTGAGGGTTTCTGTCAGTTTCCAAGGAAAGCAAATAGAGGGAGGGGGGCCTTCTTTCTACTCTACCCATCTGTCTAGTTTTGTTTCCATGTTTCTCAAAAACCAAGTCTGCTCCTGGTCTCCCAGCTTGGTCAGACAGAATTCTGGGAATATCTTATGTAGTTTTCCTGGTTACCAAATCTCTGAAGCCACAAACTCCCCAAAGCATAAACCCAAGACAGGTACACAGGATTAAATCAAATTTTTAAGCCAGTCTAAAAGCACTGGGATAATGAAACTTTCCAAGGAATTCCGGGTTTTACGTGACCAGCATATGCCCACTGGGTAGATTTGGTTTTCATACCGATTTCTTGGAACTTGGGCTATTTTGGCTATTACTGTCATTTGCAGCTGCCATTTACTCAGGGATTCTAATGAAACAGGAACTGTGCTGAGCACCTATGTACATATTTCAATTTGATCCTCTTCACATACACCCTTATATAAGCAGTTTGCCTACATAGTAGATACCTATTCTATATTTTTCCATTTTACAGGACAGGAAACTAAATATCAGAGAGCCTTAGTAATCAACTAATTTCACAAAACTTTTGAGTGGGCGTTTATAAAAGTTTTATTTGAAAGTATGCATTTGTTCTGAGAGCATCATGAAAATCAGATTCTTGAAAAGAGTAAGCCTTCAGGAGAAGAAATCTGAGAGCAGGTCCAGGGTAGTTACTATTAAGGTGACAAGGAGCTCGGGGACCCCACTTCCTACTCAAGGTGGTGACACATCAGCTGTACAAAAAATGTGCCAATCTGGTAGGCCTGCAGCCATTAACTCAAACTAGTCTGGTCCTCTGTGAAAAAGTCAACCTTCCCCCTTCTTCCAACTTCCGACATCAGCTTTTCCAAAAGCTGTGGTGAAGCAGGATTATCTTCTGCTATGGTACAGATACAAGAGCACCATGTAGAAATACAAAGTCTCTGCTGTGTCTAGAGCAGTCAGGAGGAAGCTGAGGAAGTTGCTGCAGTGGGACTGGGCGCCCACTACCTTCTCTGGCCATGTGGGTACCCTGGACCAGAAACCGGTTGGTTTATGAAAAGCCTGTTCTTCCTGTGTGCATTGACCAAAAGGACAAGGGAAGCTTCTGCAAAATTTAAGTACTGTGTCAAATTGGAGGCGCCAGATCACCCACCTAGACCACTGGCATAGGATAAAGGATGTCTTAATTTAATTCCAGCAAGAATGAGGAAGAGGAGCCCTAAGGTAACATTTACATATGCTATCCAGTTAAGTATGGATGAGGGCTAACCCTCCTCCTTTCTGCTTTCCTCCCTGGGTGAAAGTACCATCTCATCCTGACCAGATTCTGAGACAGTGAGCTTTCTGATCTGCCACTTTCCAGCCTCCAGAACTATGAGCCAATGTCAGATCCTTTTCTGTATTAATTGTTGTACATAGTTATAGCTAGAGAAAATAGACCAAGAGAGCATAGTTTTGAGTGTTGGCTTGTTCTGAGGAGAAAAAGAGAGAGAAAGTCCCTGGATGATCTGGAACTGCAATACTCCTCAGATTAAGGCAGTGGTGACTCCCTGGTGGGAATGAAGAAGAGCTTTTCAGAACAGGTTGTCTCTTGAACAACTTGAAATTGTGTGCACTAGTGTGATGAAATTTCTTCCATCTTCCTAAAACCTTCAGTGAAGAAAGAAATGTTTATTTATTTATTTTTTTTTGTACTCGGGATTGAACCCAGGATTGCTTTGCCACTGAGTAACATCCCATTTTCAATTTTTATTTTGAGACAGTGTTTTACTTAAGGTCTCACTGAGTTGCAAAACATGTGATTCCCCTGCCTCAGTAGCTAGGATTACAGGTGTGTACCACACTCCTGACAGTTAAGTCCTCATGTGTATAGAATTTTTGTGCATGAATCAGAGCAAGTGTCCTGGTCCATGATTTAAAGAGTATGTGGAATCAACTGCATGGTGGCCAGACCTTTATGATGAGGCAAATTTTCAGGACCAGACAGCAGAGCAATGACAACAGAGCTGCCTTCCCCCTTCTTACTTTGTACCTCAGGACTCCAAGGAAATCATGCAGAGGATGCTGGACTTCTATGGAGAAAGATTAGGTGGTGGAGCCACCTTATCCAGCCTTTAAGTGATAAGAAGACCGAACCAAACAAATGGGCCACAAGCACATATATACATGTTGCCTAAATATATGGAGCTCTACTTCATCTTCTAGATGAAGTGCAATAACAGCATGCATGTGTATCATCATTTTTGCAGTTAATAATGCTGTTGTGGAGGCTCTTTAGGGAACATTAGACACTTTCACTCTGAAGGAAATGAACAGTATGCCACAGACTAGGAGAAAACATTTGCAAGTCACATATCTGGTAAAGTACTTGTACCTATTGATATATGTTTTAAATGCTTTGAAAACACAATTATAAAAAACTAAACAAGGAAAAATAGGTAAAATATTTAGATGGACATGTCATCAAACTAGAAACATGACCATTATATTATTATATATGTGGAGATGGTAGAAACTTCTTCAGAAATCATGGTAGTTTAGGACAGATAATGAATATAAAATGGCATGTTATTACAGAGGAGCCCATGCCAGTGTGAGGCCTTGTGTATCCACCACCCTTTCTGAGGAAAGCCCACCAGCATGGTGGCTGAGTCTATGGTGAAGCATGGGATGTGGCCCAGCAGAGGTGACAGGACCCTCATCCATCCGGATTTCTGTCTTGGCTGTTGTGGTTGTGAGACATGCGGAGAGCATGGTGACAGGTTAGAAGACTCCTGGCGCCAAGATCCCAAATCTCAACCACTGTAAGCATTTTCTCTAAATCCTTCATAATGATGTTTGTTGAGCTTAAAATAATCATTTTGTTCTCAATATTAATTGTTGATTTTAAACATTAGTTTGTCTCTAATCTCCTTGAGTAGTTTGATTAAAACAAACTCCAACATTGTACTAAAAGTGTCGGTAGAACATTCTTCTAATTTAGTAGGATCAAGTTAATAACATAACTTATTCATTGACTTGATGGTGAGTACTCCAGAAACTTGGTCATATCAAACATTTATTACCAAATCAGAAACTTTGCTTCAATTGAAATTTGGTCTGAAAATCCTGTTTATCTTTATAACTCTGTATTGCAGGCTCTTAGAAAACCAAAAATGCATCATATCAATGATATCCTTCAACAATTAACTTAGGAAGTTTTAGAAAATGAACCTCATATTTACAAGTCACACAATTGATAAAGAACTTATGTGTGTGTGTGTGTATATATATATATATATATATATATATATATATATATGAATTCTTAAAACTCAGAAGAAAGCAAGTAACTCCAAAGACTGAGAGAATATATAAAAAAATGTTTCACCCAAAGAGAGAGACTGATAGCAAGTAGGAAATGAAAAAAAAAGATCATTATGAAGCATCAGAGCAATGAAAATAAAACACAAGTTGACACAACAACATATTTATTGGACTGGATATAGGTAAAAGTTCTTGTCATGGAACTTTGGCAAGATTGTGGAGCAATTGGAAGGTTTATAACCTGCTGCTGAAATTAAGAAATCATTCAACTAGTTTGGAAAACAATTTTATACTTTCTTAGGAAGGAAAAACCTATACCTACCATATGAGTCAGCAAGTCCATTACCAAGAGAAAAGGAAGCACGTATCTATGTACAGACTTGCATATGATTGTTCTAGGAGCTTTTTTGGAATAGTCTGAAATTGGAAACAATTCATTGTCCATCATGAGTGAATGACTGAAGAAATCATAGCATATCCACATGACAGAACACTAATCAGTGATTGAAAGCTATGAATCATGATACACAAGCATAGGGATAATTATACTGAGGATAAGAAGACAGACCAAAAAGGAGTGAATTCTGTAATATCCCATTTTGAACAAATTCCTGATATATAAAAGGAAAACTAATCTATAATGACAGAATTTACACTAGTATTTATAAGGAAACAGAGCCTCTGATATTTAGAAATGAGATAGAGTTTACAAAGGGACACAGCAAGATTTTTAAGGTGACATGGCCATATTTAGTAACTTTTTGGTGGTGATGGTAAGGTGAAGGACAGGGCATTCATAAATGCCTTCATTAAGGTATATACTCAGTGTGTTCCCTAATAAAGTCATATATAGAGAGCAAGATCTTCAGAGAAGTTGGAGACAAAAGTTAATGTTCATTCACCCTATACGGACAGCAGCTTCTCCAAGAGAT